CTAATAATACAACATGCAGCATACATCGCTAAGTCATTATGTTTTCAGTATAATTTCAAATTTCCTTTTCATTACATAAATCATTCAACAGTTTTGCGCATGGATATACTACAGAAACTAGCTCGATTCATCTTCGTACCCTCCTGACCGAAATGGACGTGCAACTAATGGTCCACGGTATAGATCTTTAATGCATCTGATGTTTCTTACGACTCTACGTACGATTGACCCTACGATCAGGCATATAGCGTGTTCGTATTTCGAAGAGTCACTGACTTCTATCAAGGTGCACTGTTCTATGCACGAGGAGGAGGTACTAAGCCAATTTATATTCATTGGACTGACGGTAACTCTGGATCAAATAAGTTTCTAACGTCTCTTGGTTATTCCCAGATGTTGTGAGTCCCTTTAGGTTGCGCAACGAGACGTCCCCGAATAATTACACGCGCGCCCATTCACGTGCACGACACATTCCAAGAGGGATTCAACTGCGCGAGCCAGACAGATGGACGTCTAGCGAGGTTCAAAGCGCTATCGAATACCAGGACCTCAGGAGACTGTAAATAAAATCGTCGATGACAATTTTACTGGTGAATCAGATTTTTCATCCGGTATAAGTTCCATCTGTATATTTAGATTACCTGGAGTCACTTGCGCTAAATAGCACTGAAGAAATAATAATTGCAGATCACTTTTAAGTATGACAAAATTACAGGGCATCAGTACGTACGGAACGACGTCTTACGTGTAATTTCGTCTGAACTGACTTTGTTATGTCTGCAATACATTTCTACGGGGAATACAAGCCTGCACTCTAATCCCTTTTCTACGGGTCTTGCGTACTATCCGCGAAAGCAGTCTATATATCGTTGTCAGTGCGAGTGCAGCGTAGTCGGGCTATGATACGTTTAAGTGCGCTTCCGTTATCGAAGCAGTTTGGCCAGACGCGAATCCGTGTGTGGAGAGAAGGACGTCTGTAAGAAGTGAGGACGAAGGAAGTGAGTAAGAGTACCTATTAAGGTGGATACGTATGGGAATAATAATATGTTGGCACATATATTCGACTCATGTGTGTATTTTTGCTTAACCATCTATGTATCCACATATCTATCCAGCCGCCTGCTTATTTCTCAGGGTGTGTGGAGGCACGCGGTAGGGGTAAGGGTTCCTCGTGGAGTAGAAGAGCTAGATGGAGGGCTTCTCTAACACGCAGTTCACTACTACAAGACGGACTTTGGTATTGGTGGGTCGATCGGTATCTGGGTCGCGGGTTTTGGCAGTAGACCCATCCCTTACCATTCTCAACCCTCTACCCCTAGGACCTGCCTCTATACCAACGCCACGATCATCCTAGTACTCCCGCACTTTGCATATACAGTCACGCAAACTGATATTTTTTCTAAGTCCGATTTCGCACGAAGGTCTTGGTCTCGCGGGACCCAGAGATTCGGTGAGGTAGAGGATGCTGGGATTGCAGACAAAAAATCTTACTCCTATTATACCGCCAGGAATATAAATGAATTTGGATATCCTTTGAATCGTAAAGCCGCACCTGCAACGGACTGCAGGTTATAATTCAACCCGGCAAGTGTCAGTCATCAATTTCCAAGCACAGATGGTCAGCTTAATTTTTTTCGCGAATACACATAGCGAATTGTCATCGTGAGACGGGCACAATTTTATAATACCTCTATTAAGGCCCAATTCAATCCGATTATGAGGCGACCTTAATCTAGGGTAATACGTAGTAGCAATCGACGCGACAAAAATTTCTGCGATCAGAATTCGTGAGCGACGCTTTCGAATATACGTATGTAGCTCGCTTAACTACGTCAGGCATTTTAAAAAGATCACAGCTGCATAGGATATAATTCAATCCGGGAATAGTCGCGCGACTTTGTGTTCCCCATTTGAAAAGCATTGAGTTCGGGTATTTAAGAGACCCCACGTGTCTACTACGGGGTTAACGAATATGATTTTTTTTACAGCGAGCATTGTCGTTCGTTGTGTAGACACCTTACGAATTGGTCGTTACAAGACGTCATTCAACATCATTTAATCCAAATAGCCTCCAAAATGAAGTTTTATAAGAGACAGCTGCGCGAAATCATTACCATCCGTTATGAAGAAACTTCCTTTCTGACTGCTGGTATTTTTTATATTTTTTTTTTAATTCATCTACATTCTCTCTCCCGTGTACTTCTATCCCTCGCTTACCGTATTTCATCACGGTCGCCATCCCCCACGTTTTTATTAATTTCATTCCAGCGCGTGTCGACGCAACGGGACGCTATCCCCATCCCCCATCCGCGTGGGTGTCAACACGTGTTTTCTTTTGTATATTTCGCTCGTATGCCTTGTTTTGTAGTTACGTTGGGAAATGTAGGCCGGGTTTGTCGCCCATTGTAAAGCGGAGCAGTTATCTTACGGTCTCATCTTCGGTTTCCTTACGAAATAAATGACCGACAATTTCATATAGCCATATATATATGGCTATATGAAATATATATATGGCTATATAGCCATATATATATATACCGCCCAACAGCTTCTATAACCAACAGTATAGCTTTGCGTCCGCCTTTTCTCAGCAGTCACTTTCTAAACCGTCTACGTTTGCCTTTTTCGATTTTATTCTTCTTTTTATGGCCATCCAACGCATCTCCGAACAGTTTTTAATTAAATTAGTCTAAGGTGCGACCTTTAGTTGAAATTGAGATACCGAATTAACGGTCAACTATTAGATCCCAAGAAGTTGGTATACCTACCTGGTAGAGGCGTGGAAAATCATAGAAAAGTAATGGGATTGGTTTTGGTCCAGGTAATTGCTATGTAAAGAACATCGTGCTATTTCGAAAGAAATATATAAACGGTACCTATGTGTATACGTATACACATATATGTATACTATATGAAAGGATAAAAGTTGTAATAAAAAAAGAGAAAAAAACCCCTATCTCATATACCTGAGGTCAGCGATCCCCCTGAAATTTTGAAATTCCGTTCAGTCCTAGAAGCTGCCCTTTAAAACAACGTGAAACGGCTAGCATTAAACATTTAACTGTCCCCCGATATAGTATCGTCCTCGAATCCATACCTGAAAGTACAAAACGTCCTTTTCGTTCGAGGGATGATTTTTCTAGCCTCCCAAACAATTTTGACAACAGCCTGCTCTTTTATTTCTGCTCGATTAAAATTTTGTCATGGGTCCATAAACGTCGAAATGTAATTTCAACAGACTCTTGCTGATACTTAAGGATATTAGTCACGAGAGATCCGTAAACGCGCAACGCCATATTGTCCTGTTTAAACTTTAAATAAACTAGCGAAGATCGTCTGAATCATCTAACTATTTCTAGTCGTATGTACTTTGACTAAAGCGCAAGACCGACTGTCGTCGGTCTATCGAATCTTGTCAAATGTCAAATTCGTGTTTTGAAAAGTCCCCTTAAATTTTACGAACGCTTTGCGAAAACAGCAGCTGGCATTTTTCTCGCGTCTGAGAAGACCCGACGAAGTGCACGCGTCCATTTCGTATTTAGCTAACGATTGGCAAATGTCACTGTCCCTTAAAACGATTTTGCGTCATCGGCATTGGCAGGAATATACTGTAGGTTGTTATGTCAGGCGCAAGTACCGATGCTCAAGAAGACTTATGCGTCGTTAGACGATGCAGCTCAGATTAGTGAGATTACACGAAGAGCCCTTAAACCTCACCCTCCCTGATTAGTCGATTTCCTATACCGGTCGTCTCTATACTTCGCTGTTTATCTTCGACTGGCTTCTTCCAATCTCTATTATTTGCACCACTAGACCACGTTGGTAGTAAGTCCGTGCAGTACTAAAACCGTACGTACTGAAACAGCTTCGTAATCCTATACGTAGTATACTCCAGATAAACTCTAGTACGCGTCTACCTGATTCCCATTATAAAAATTATCGTACTGTTTATTTAAAAAAAATAACAATAAAGTTGATTCGCACGCCGCTGCATTTTATACGACCCATCAATTTCCCTGCTGGTTTTACGGGATATAAGGCAATTTCCCCGTTTCTTATCTGGCAGAAGCTCTCACAATCAGTCAAATATCCTCCTAGGCCTTCTTCTCGCATCATACAAACATCTCGACGGCGGAAGTCACTGGGACGCTCGAATTGAACCTGAAACTCTCATCGGATCGCGTAATCCGTAAAAAAAAAGCCAGAGGCAGACTCAAGCGTAAAAAATAAAGATAAAATGAAGATAATTAATACAATAAAAAAATTTATTTCTGAGTCAAAAAAATCTGCAATGTACGCTGTGTATCGACCGAAAATTCGAGGCTCATTCTTCTTCCTTTCAAAGCTTTTGTTTAACCTGTCAGAAAGTTGAATCGGACCTTGATAAGGATTATTTCCACAAACCACAGAAAAAGTGTACTGTGCCATATACAGGTCCCATTCCGTTCACAGTTCATACAGGGCAACGTAGCTCTAGGTGCAGACAAAACAGAGAAATAGAGTTCAGAATCGATGACGAGCTTTTGACATTCTCGCCTATGTTATCCTTCGAGGAGTTCAGTGAGTTCGGAGTTCAGCCAGTTCCCCTTTAACTCCTTAGGTTGGGTGGTCGGTTGTAGGTAGTAAGGTACGTACGAAGGCTACAGGATGGGACAGCATACCCTGTTCGAACCTCGACACGGTCGATATCTACTAGGTAGGTAGATACTGCACTGGGAACTTGTCCACGCTGGGTCTTATCTATTATGCTCGTGCTCTACTCGCTTCAGACAATAACTGTACCGGGTATCGAGAGATTTTAAAGTTCACTTACTTATTTGCCACAGCTTATACGAACAGCCTGAATTGAACAGCTTTACTGTAGTCATCGATGAGACGCGGGAAATTTGAATTACCGGTTACCGTGATATGTCAGATATACATATGTGAAATTGACTTTATGGACATTTATGGAAAAATACATTATTTCAATTGATTACACTATTTTGACTTATACTTACGTAATATTTGTGATGCAGGGACATTTCATCGCTTGCGGGATTCCCCCCGTCTGTATGGAATTCTTGTAAACTGTTGTTGACTTTTCAATAGATTTTTATGAAAGAATCGTCTATATTGTCTGTCTTGTCTGTTATGCTCGTTCAGATTAATAATATCAATTCTGATATGGTTTTTTTTAATTATTTTTATCTTTTTATTGTTTTTTTAATTGTCTTCTCTTTTGGGTAAATACTTTTTGTTTTCTTTTCCAGTTTTCTTAAATAATTTCTCTAGAGCGAGTTAGCCTAGTCTTGAAGTACCGATGCCTTTTGGTATGTAACAACGAGACTGTCACACTTGTATCGCCTTTTAAAAGGCATCTCAGCCTCTCACGATCAATAGGATTATAAATTAGAGTCGCTTAATTTCCTTAAGTATTAACGTTATTGTCGTTTTTGGTTTTATTGTCGTGAATTAATATTCTCGAATGTTTCACAGCATTGTCGCTTTCCGTTTTTCTCTCATCCTTCGACCCAGTTCCTTGTGCAATGCTAAAAATTGTATCACTTCCCTCGGGAAACGAGTCGATTCGAGCCGCTCGAAATCTCGCGATTCTGAAATATTCTTCGCAATAATTTTCGGCAGTCTCAATAATCATTTGCCAATTTTATTTATATCTTTCATTCGTATTCTTTCCTTTTCTTCCTTCCTTCCTTGCCAGTAACGAATACATGAAAAACTTATCCTTGACACTTAACGATTCATTTCTTCAGAAATAAGCACGCGTCAAAGTACCCTTTTTGCGAATTTCAAAATTCCCAAGAATCGGTGAAAGAAATTTTTGCTGTCTCATGAAAACGACAATTTCTTATCCCGGTGCGTTACGGTGCGTGAAATCCGCAAGTTTATCGCGCGATCGATATTTCCTTCAAACCACCGTAACCCCTATATCTCCTGTCCCATTTTCCGATTTTATCATGCCCTTTTCTTCTTCGTAGATGCGTCAAACCGATTCTTCTCTCACACGTTCCACTCAGTTGGTCGCGCTCGTCCTGCAAAATATTCGCCGCTCCTTCATTTCGCATTATTCTCAGACAATTATTCAGACGCTTTACAAGCTTCTCATTGCTGCGCCACTTTTCTGTCCAATCGTAATCTTCGCTGAAGTCCACGACGAGGATAGTTAACGCACACGAAACGTCAGTTTTACGCTCCTGAAGCTTTTAGTCGAGCTGGTTGCCAAGCCTGCAAACTGTCTTGATCCATTAGCATTTCGAGGATGGGCAGTCATTTTCCAGTATCGCTGTAAATGCAAAAATTCCCATCAGCTTGCTAACGATGCCAGCACTCATCACGACTAACATTCCAAAACTGCCAGGAAAGTTAATGTTATATATCATTAAAAAATATTAGAAAAATCTTTAAAGACCATACAAATGATACTCTAATGTCTCTGACAGAGCCTAGATCTCTTTAAAAGGAAAGTAAGAAAACTCATCGTACTCAAAACGCAATCACAAATAAATTATTGTGTCACCTGAAAAACCCGAAGCGACCACCGGGAGTGCAAAACCTGATTATTATCTATAATACTAAGTACGACAAAGCTTTGGCAAGTTCAAATTGCCATAAAGCATTACGGTTTTCGATAGTATTTTTTTAATATGCACGGTAGGTATCTGCAAGACGCAACAACTGAAGTTTGTCCGTGCGAAATAAATTTTTTGTTACTTACTACAATTGCCAAGTAGAGCACATTCCTATCTCCCGTGAGGATGACACCATCGTACAAGTAATACTCATGAAACGGCATGTCGCGGATTCGCGTAAATATTGAGAAAAAGTTGAAAAAAATTAATTTCAGACGCAAATGAATTTCTCGCGAGTGCGAATGCACTTTGCGCATTGTATTTGCACCCTTTCAATCGTGGGATAGTTCTCTCGTTATCGGAAGATGCTGCAGCGGATACATTTGTCCCGTAGTGTCGCTATACGATGAAAAGGTCGATGAGATCTACACTCTGTGTCACTGTACAGTATACGTATATACATTCATGTATATAAGTATATCATATATATATACTATATTGTATATATTTCAAACTATCCTACTGGTAATTATTTTCCGACGTTGCTGCCCATAAAGCTTGGTCTATGTCAGCAAGTCTCACTCTTTTTTCCTCAAGCGAATGACACTCTTCCCCAGGGAATTAAAAATCCGTATAACCCTTGTCACACGGGGTGGCACGGCGGGTTGCTGAAGCATTACGATTTGTTTTCTTTCCTGGTAAGAATAGTCTTCTCACGAGGCAACAAAAAAGAGGCATCATCCCCAACGTTATTCTTTGCGAGAAAAACTGCCGGAGTTGCGTCTTACCATATTCAACCTCAAACCATGAAAAGTCATATCTTCTCGCAATTCTTCGTTTCGAGTCGCTATTGAGATGCAACGAGACAGCAATATACATGTATGTATACATATACTGAAAAAGTTGAGAGTGCACGACGTTATGACGTATCTTAAAAAAAAAACTTTTTTCAAATCCGCGAGGAAATCCACCTAGTTCATTTTTCCAACACGCCAAATGAAAGAACTCTTTTGCTTAATATACGAAAGACCCATATTTTCGAAATACCGCGCAGAGAGTGTCTAGCTTTTTCAGAGTGACGTAAAAAATAAATCCGCCCGACTGCCCATGTACGCGTAACAAATCCTCATAGAAAAATAAGCCCGCTCTTACGAAATTGTTAAACGACCCAAGAAAATATGACTGGTCATAAACATGGTAGCGTTACGCGTGTAAACACATGCGCTCCCTGTGCCACGTGCGTGATGAACGCGACACTGGGTATAGAGATCTGGGTAGATGCAATCTGGAGCACACGTATCTGAGACTTTCGTAAGAGTTCGTTGAATAAAGAAATTCCATAGAACGGTTGGATGCCGTACCACGAGATCATTGTACATTTTCGCATTCGTCACTCCCTCGAATACGTTTCGATTTTGAAATGAAAAATTTCAGGATGACTTGCACCGGAGCGACGGATTCGTTAAAAATTTTTTTGTCATTTTTATTCCATCCGCCTTCATAAATTTCTCTAATTATCCGGCCAATGAATCGTCATTAGTAATAACTTATCAAAGCTTATTACCCTTCGTTAAGCGTTTCACTGAATATCCAAAAGAGCGACGCACGCTATAAAGCCTTGAGATTCTCTGGAATCGTCGTCAAAGTGAAAACCAGACGAATCCTCCTATATATAGCATTAGCGCGAGGCAAATTGGTCGATTTCATGAAAACACCTCGACAGATATATTCATTTATCAATATGGTGTACTATAATCAACGGAATACTTTGATCGCATGAAATTCATGCCTACGCGATCACGTCGCGAGCTTCGACACGCGCCTTGAATTACGCACTGCGTATTATTGCCCATTGTTCTTCTCACGAATCGCACAAATAACCGTGTCGCCTTAACTGCGATTTACGAGCAACTATCACGTACGCACTGCACATTGTTATTATTCGTCAGACTGCTGTCCGCAAACTGCAATTTCTTATTGTCACCATGCACTCACGAGAAAGCACGTTTATTAATGTCGCCCGTCACACCGACCATTTTCACGCTTCACTCCTTCGGCGATTTAATATCGGTACGTTTACTCGGAGATATTTGTAAGCGAATAATTTCAAGGGGTTGTCATTTTTATTTCATTTTTCACACCCTTCGTCCTGATACACGTGATCGGCCGCGCGTGAACTCGATGCGTCGACTTTTCAATTCCCGCACTTATATACAGAAATAACCACTAATCCAGGTCGATTCGTCGAATTCACGGAAAACTATGCGGACCATACTAAATGGAGTGCCCCTGCGAAAGGGAACCTCGAGTGTCCTGTAATTCGAGGGATCAAAGTTCTTCGCGCTCGTGGGGTCCAGCACAGGTAACAACCCCCGCGCTGAATCGCGGGCAACTGAACTGCCCCAATGCTCCGGCGTTTGCGGGTAATGCGCGACCCCCTGCGCAAAACTACCCGCACACTGGTGCACGGCCTCACAAGGCTTTAGGCCGCACGTGCGACGAGGAACGAGCGATCGTTCGAGCCGCTAGGCTGAGAGATGGAAGCGCAGAGGGTGGCTGCTGCCTACGTTCATATATATATGTATATATATATATATATATATATATATATATATATATATATGTATATATTGTTGGATTTGGTTGCACGGGGGCATGAGAAGGGTAGGGATGTACGGCTGCGGACACCGGCTTACCCTAGGTTAGTTGAAGGAGATTATGCGCGAGGGATGGATGAGAAAAAAGGAATGCGAATAAATTTTAATTAAAGCGCTATTGCGTAATGACGTTGGGGGATTCATTGAGCTGACTGTAAGTTCTTATCTTGGCAGTCCTTCGAAAATGGCTGGAAAGGCTTGGAATTTCAGAAGAATTTGATATTATTTCAATAAAAAATTTTTTTGGAATCGCGGACTCTCTTTGTATCGCGTGGAATCGCGACCTAAAGTGGATTTCTAGAACGCGACAGATGCGGGATTGTGTATGTACTAGCGTTTTACTTCTTTCTACTTTTCTCCGTTCTTTCGATTTTCTTTTCTCAGCTCTCACTCAAATATCACACAGGGACGAGATCGTTATCGCTAATTGGAAATCGTTAAAGATCTCGACAGCAAAAACGAGGCGGACGTCACCCGGTCGAAGCTCGTCGATTTTAACGATGCAAACTTTCGAGTAGGACTCTCTTGTCCTCTGTAGGTACGTCACTTTAAAGGGTCTATCTCATAGCACAACAATCGCTACACTGAAGCCACCCTTTGCAATAAAGAGCTCCTGTACACACGACCTCTTTTCAAAATACCTTCTTTGATTCTGCAGCCCCAAACTATTTCTGCTCGTTCGCACAGCCCCTCCTCGTGAATAAGATATAAATTGCCTAACAATCAAATCTCATTTTCAGCCCCATGTGGACGTTTTATGATTAGTTCCAGGGGCGGGATTTTGGAGTGCATCAGGTACGAACAACGGGAAGGGAGAATCGCAGTACAATGCCTTTAGCTCGAGTGAGATAGTTTATAGACTAGGGGTGGTTTTTGTGGCTTTTAACAGTTGTATTTTTTCTCCTCGCCTTTCCCCTGCCTAGAAGCATCCCTTCTTTTCCAAGTATTTATATATCTACCCCGTCCACTTTGTACAGAACCAAGCAATTTTGTGCTCTACGTGATTCGGGTAGTTTTCAACAATTTTGCCAAATCGTTCGCGACCCTCACAGATCTTCGATAGTATCTCAGTCCGACAAAACTCATTCACTTACCGAATAGAGTCTGATGGTTAACCTCAAATTCCAAGTAAATTGCATAACCTCGTTATTACATAGAAGATCCTCATGATTCCCCAGGAAGCCAACCTAAAATTGGCACCGGCTAATTTTCAAGCGAGAACCACCCTCGTATATGGCTGAGAATAAATTGTAAAAGAAGAAGGAACGAAAATGAACTGTTTCGGGTCTGAGGACTTTAGCAAACGTTTCCAGCCGTTTGGCACGGATGCAAATTGTTTCGCGTGTCTGCTGATTCCTCTTCTCTCCTTTTTACTCGGTCCTATTCTAAATAGTAAGATAGCGGGTTTATAAACTCCTGGAGTGGATCGTTGGTCGGCGCGGCAGCTGGAACTTTTAATAAAGCGATCGCAAATCTCTCCGAATGGGAAAGGAACCTTTCGGAGGCGAACCTATCCTAACCTCCTACAATATTATTACGCCGCGCCAAGTTATTCTTGCAAATAGTTTTCGAACTATCGGTTATTGAAAATAATAATGTCAACGACTGACTATTGTCAACCACGGGGATTATTTTATTCTCTGGATATCAGCGTCTGTCAATTCTTTGAAAGTATTCAAAGTATTCTTTCATCCGACCACGTATCCTTCTCGACTTAATTCATTCTCATCCAATTAGTTTTTGACCGTTCATAATTTTTCGTACGAATGAACGCTACTTCACACCGCCATCGCCTAGGCAGACCATATTGTGGATCCATCAATTCGATTTGAAAAAAACTGTCGATGCGACATTTTTGTTCACCCCTTTTTTGCTATTTTTTTTTCCTACTCATACAAACGGTATTGTGCAATTCCATTTACTATTGCTGTAAATCATATTTTCGAATAAAAAACTCATTTTTGTCTTCATTCAATTTTCCTTCTACGCTACGAGATACCGTGGCACCCGAAGAAGAATTTTGAGTTTATAATTCATACTCTCCGATATATACTTATGGCTAACTTATTTTTATCTAATTCTCAATAACGACTGTTATACAAAATTTTCTGTGGATAAATTTTTAAGTTTGATCAAATCAAGCCCTTCGGTTCTCCTAGAAAAATCTTACTAAGTCCTCAGTCGACTCGGGTCACACCCGTGACTAGGCTGATAAGTAGCTACCGTTACTTTATCAAGTAACGGATCACCGCCGCTCCTTATCCAGAAGATGAGTATCAGTGTTTTCACAGTACGTATACAGTACACATGTACACACCCTACTAAAAACATTGTACCCTCCATGACCGTCGTCAGGGTTAATACGAGAAAGCAAATAAGACCTCATAGAAGACAGGCGAAGAGAGTGCAACGCTATTAGCATGGTTAAAAATAAAATGCAATCAGACACGTTTCCCAGAAGCAAAACACATTCTTGGACTCTCGTGGAATTCCCTCGATACACCAAAGTCCACATGGAGTCGCTATTCCTAAAAAGAAAAGGAATTCCATTGGATCTTTAAGCTGTGAAAAAATCAAGAAAAATCACAGCAACATTGCTTTCTTAATATATCCTATATAGGGGTAAAGTCCCAAAAGTCATTTTCCCTCAGGAGGAAACTGTATTTTTAGATGGACACGGCAGGATCCACGATAACGTACATCGAGGTAGATAAATCGAGCGCAACCTAAGGAGCGAACGGGGGACCCCCCGCTTTCCCGAACGATTTGCCTGTCTTAACGAGTTACCGATGACGTCCCCAACGAAATTACTCGAGATCCGCCATTCCCTTCTATCTATCACATTTTCCTGGACGAAGAGCCAGTATAGACACTAGGTACTCCTCTGTACTCTCTTTCGCCCTGGCACATCCGATAATACAGGAACACCCGGTACAGCGAGATAAACGGGCGAGCAATCTCGTAGGCGCAATCGCTCAATGAGAGTAATTAATGGTTCAACGTGCCTCGTGCCTCGTAATGATAAAATACAGCGTAGGTTACCAAGTGCTGTGACAATATATTTCACACCTGCGTTTGTCTCAAGATCCGCGACTGTCACGCGTTCAGAGATACTTTGACCATAAGTCAGAAAAAGACGAAGAATAAAAGGTTCGCCTAAGGTATGCCTCATAAATATGACACTGCCATAACTGCAATTGCATCTGTGCATCGTTCGGAAATACGTGCTGCGGGATGTAATCTGCAACTGTCGTAATGGTAAAGTGCATCTGTATAAGCTGCAGCAGGTTTTGAGCGATGGTAGGAGGTAGAATTTGGACGGTCAAAGAAATGACCTCGCGCCGAAGAAAGTCATCGTTCATCGTTCGAAACGAAGCCTCGAAGGGATTGGCCCAGGAAGAATTAACATTCGTTAATGCACTGCAGCCACATCGGGCACTGCGCGCAAGTAACGTCGTTCATTCGAGTCTATAGACACAACGCGTGTACATAGCTACGTTTCAATTTACTGCATCCTAGCCCGCGGCAGAGATTCCACGGTCCGCGCGCCGCGAGAATCCACGGTATGACGAGTACCTAATTTTTTATTTCTAATTATATTAGCAGCATTATATATACTTTTTTCGTTTACAAGCGTGCGAGCACGTGTGAAACAATCTGTATAACAAACTTGCACCGTACGCGAAACAGCACTTGATGTACGATTATACTAATGGTATTCAAATGTACACAGGTTTCCCGCTCGTTTGTGCCAGCACGCACTTGCGTCTCGTATCTCTTAAGATCCCCCTAATGATTACTTACATGCAACGATCTTGCCATTCGTATAAAATAATTTGTATGTACAAGACAACAACCTGCAATGGCATCGCTTGATGACCTGCAGGTTTACTGTATTCGGGTCTTATGCATACGTATCGTTATAGGTCGTATTGTTGCACAGTGCTGATTTCACGTGTAATCGCCTACTCGGGAGAGAGAGAGAGAGAGAGAGAGAGAGAGAGAGAGAGAGAGAGAGAGAGAGAGAGAGAGAGGAGGAGGAGGAAGCACGTGCCATACTATCTATAGATATAAGCTGAGCAAACGCGACGGGATATATTCCGCGTTGCGGTTAAAGCCTAAATCCATCCGTGTAACAGGGCATGTCTACAATGCAGTCGATATGCAGTATGCGACATGTGGCGTCAGGGCCGTATCTTCCAGGGGCTTTAATCACGCTTCCGATGACTATAGCTGCGACGCGCTCCCCACTTTCATTGTTGCTCCTATTGTTTCTTAAGAAGACAGACTTATCGCGGACCAGATAGCACACTGTTACTTTGTATAAAGTAACTTACTCCAGCTCGTCACAGTAACCGTACACGGGTTATAAATTTTATAGGCAAACAATTACAATTGTACGCTACTGAATGTGAACGATGCTTCTTATCCAGTACGGATTGTTACCAATCTCTCCATCCTGATTTACGAGACGTTCTTCGTGCGCAAAATAGGAAAAGTCGTATTGCAAGATTCAAGACTCCCCTGTATTCCATATCGGAACTTTTTAATTGCATCTGCCGCGGGCGGTCGGTATAAATTTTTGTTTTCTTATAATTAAAAAAAAAAAAAAATTTTCCACCACGTCTTTCTCAAGTCCTCTCAAGGAAAGACCTTCTTTTAAAATGTATACTGATTTTATTTAATGTAATATCAGTCCTATGCCTATAAAGCTATTACCTTATTTTCTCATTTTAATGGAAACCTCTTAGTTTCTTAATTACCTCGTGTATTTCCCTTCGTTTACTCTCCTTTGCATATTCCACCGACCCCAGACTCTATATACGCGTAGGTCTTACGTTCTATCGACAAGTGGAACTTTTTAGTAAGAATTTACGAGCTCGATAGACCGTCCCATTACTCCTGCCTCGTAGAAACACTTAACGGACAATAGATAAAGATTTAATTTCGTACTGGAGCTAGTTGGCTTACTTCGCAGCTTCGCAGCAGTCCTCGGACGGAATTAGAATGAATTAAGATAGAACTTTACGATCGCTCGAAAGCTTCTTGAGTGATCCATTGCGCAATATCGTACTAAGAAAGCAAGCAATGCACAATCAGTGTCTAATATCTTAACGATCATTTCAAGAAATCGCATCAAGGCATATCAGTCAAGGCAATCGAGCCAATTACGGTAGTTTTGATCAATCTAACTGGAACACCCAAATTTACGTTGTCTACAATATGCATCATTGATCACGAGTTTTCCTGCATCGCATTAACTCCTTGCTCTGACTAAATCCATCACACACGTTTAATATGTATACTCGAGTTATGCAGATGGGGGGCCGATGCGGTTCCTGATGCGAAACGATAAATAAAAATACCTCCGAAATTACCATTCATAAAATTGTCAGCGGTATCGCGCGGTCTGTAATTAAAGAATATTGTCACTTTACACTCTCGTGTGCGAGACTATTATAATTCGCTGTGCATAAATAATTCATCATTTTCGAGGTACCCGCATATGTACGTTGATACCCTGCTATTAAGCGAGTGGCACGAGGGTAGATTATGAATATTCAAGGCAAGTTCGCACATCATACGTTAATCCCTTGACGCGTGATCCTCGGGCAACCCATGAAATTCATTCGAATAGACGGATTTGTCAATTATTCCAATTAATCGTATAGAGGATCGATTAGGTCGATGATGGATGCTTTTATTAATAAGGTAGGACTAGGTATTTTCGTTCAGAGGCTTCTAATATTAGTCCGCACGAAAACCCGGCTCCGGAAACGATGCTAAACTGCCAACACGTAAATTCTTTTCACGAGCTTTGGTAAACCAAGTGTGTTTAGCTTCTTCGAAAGTGCCTTGCTGGTTGGACTGAGCGATAGGCGTTGATTACTGCGAATCTGTCATCGAATGTTTAATTAAACGAAAACGTCCTATTTAGGGCGCAGTGGGACGCTGACTGTGTCCCATTGGCTCGTTTGTTGGTTTTATCAAAATGATTCAGCCGGCTGAGCGTAAATAGTGCTACCTCTAAGTTTCTATTAATTAGACGTCGGAAGTTCGTCGTACGTATGGGAGCAAGTGATTTCATCAGTTTTCACTCCGCGAATTCAATCTGCAAGTTCAAGCGAACATCATTTCAACACACAACCTGCGATAGAACTTAGCGAACGATGATGAACTTCAAGTTAGACCCTCGAGTTTACCTTGCTCTATTATACAACGACCTCTTTCTACTTGCCTGATCAACCACTTTCCCAAGTTCAATGTGTCCCGAATAATGCATCCACAATTTGTCCATACGGTATATGCCCGAGCTCTTAAAAAAAATTCTCATTTATCAATGTACGCCTCTACGGATTTTGTCAATATACGTATACCTATGTCTTGTATAATATTTTACTACGTATATCCTCTTATTCCAGGTGTGCAAAAAACTGTCCACGTACTTCACAATTCAGAACAGCCAGCTTCGGTCTTCGCCGTCCTCGAGTCCGGAAGTAAAGTGGTACCGCTGATAGCGGATGGTCTCTTTGACTTGCTGATGCTGAAGATGACCAGCATCTATACGAGTAAGAAGCAGACGAAGATCGAGTCGAAAGGACCACGCTTTGAGATTGGCGACTTCTGTGTTAAATTGGGAAGCGTTACCATGAGTCAGAACTTTAAAGGCGTTCTTGTCGAAGTGAGTTATGCCACCGTATTATTTTTAACCGTATTATCCCCCTGTTCGATTTATCAGGACGATTCACCACTTTTAAGAAAAATTGACTCTTACGCTCCCTCGTGGCTCTCCTTTCTCTTTGAGATTCGCTAGTCCTCACGAAGGACCCGACCGATTTCTCATTCCTCCTTTTCTTTCGTCCCTTTGGTATTTACTGGACCTTCGGAGAAAACAGGCATCCCTTTTAGTATTCAAGGTAGTGATGTCCTTTCAGAACGGCAGGGACAGGTTGAAAAGGATACTCACGGTCTTCAGGGTCTTCTTACACAGTATTCCCTTTAGACGTCGTCAACATTGGTACTGGTAACCACGGCATACGAAGTAGCGTGCCGTCATTGTTAGACTCTACTAACCAAAAAAAAAAAAGGAAGTTGTCCTAAGAGCTGTACCTACCTTCGCATCATTTGAGTAAGATATTCTCCAGTGGATTCGTACAATATTTTTAAAAGAACGATGAGCAGACACCAAACCAATCACTAAGTTATACAGTCCCACTTAGCAATCTGCCAAACGACCTAGCTACTCATCAGCGTCTTATAGTCTTCTTTAAAAATCAATAAAACAATACCTAGTACACGGCGCAGATGAAAAATATGAATCTGACCCACATTCCAAGATATAGGAGACCACTCTTAGCATTACGCTCGAGAAACAATAAAGTTAACAAACCCAGAAGAGATTCAATCAACATTCAAAATTTTAATGTGAACAATAGGCTTTCTTGTTCAGGCAAACTTAAATGGCTGAAGTAAAATATTACTACTCTCAACGAAGCAAGAGAAAAGACCACGTGGTTATCCTTTTATAGTTTTGTGTATCAATTAAGAAAAACACCGTAGTCACCCTCTTTTCAAAATCCACCAGCCCTTCAACAACTGTGCCTTATCGATCCTCGAGCTTTCGTGTAACCTGCTATGTGTTTCATACATGTTACGAATCGATGCGCCTACACTTCACATATGTGCATTCGACTCGATGTGTATCTCTATACGTAGAATTGTATACCGAGGCTTATGTAGCTCACGGTACATCTGTATTCCCTTATGTGTATATAAACACACGAGAAACATCGATACAGCCGCAGGACGTCATTACAATTTGTCGTTTGACAATGCAAGAGCTCAATGTACATTCCACCTATGTATGATTTGTAACTACTGGTTATACCGGGTGATCTTATATTAATTATATTTTTCCTCTCTACTCATGTCATATACGGTCTTTGTAATAAAATCTTCAATACATCCTTACATACGTGCAGTTCTTTTCAAGGGTGTTATTTACATGAAGATTTGTAGTAAATTTCTTTTCCGATCTTTCGGCACTTTTTTCTCACCTCTAACGGAGCGAAATAATCGCAGAGTCGATATCACCCTAAGTGGACTCGGCTATTCGTTTCGTTAACTCGTGTGTGTGTATATATATATACATGTTCTCCATCCGCCTGAAATATGTTACCATAAGCCTAGAAGCCATTAATTTCAATGGAGAAACAGGCGTTTCCCGCTTTACTGCGAAAAGGTGTATTTTTCATTATTGCTTCCCGATAGATTCGACCGAACGAACGGCCCTCGAGTCTCTATTTCCCGTGCAACTTTTGCGCATGAAAATCACCCCTATTGAGCCGCGTCCAATGAATGGCGCCACTGTCATTCGAAATAGAACCCGTTTCGATGTGTTCGCGGATTCAAAAGCGCGATAGCTTTGCCATTTTTCCCCCACTATTTCAGTATCATATTATCCCTTTCTCTTTCACTCTTGCTCTTTTTCTCTCCATCTCACTCTAACAGACTACATTTTTCCTTTACCCTTTATCCCCTTTCCAACTATCACTTTCAATTTGCTATTTATCGCGATACTTTTACACTCTCACGTATCTATCTACACGTTCGATAATTTTTCGCATCTAACATTGGCACCATATCTAATCGATTTTAAGTTCCTTTTCGAATGACGCATCCGACTGTCAAAATCGAATATCCTCTTCCACTCGTTCGCGTTCGCAAAGACCATCGTGCATCGCGTGAATGCGAGACGATAATGCTGTCACGTCACGTGTCAATCAGAATCACTTGACTGAACAACAGCCCTATATTACGACTTATGTAATTTGTCAATATTATGTGTGCCGTTCGTGCAGATTTTACAGCGTGCGATAATAATGTTTTTCCTACATTTTAATTGAAGGTAATTCGATAAAGATTTATAACACTTGATTTAAAATATTGTCCTACATTAAAATAAAATGTGTTGATAATTTTGGAAATCATACAGAAATTTTTTATATATCTAATATTAAATTTTTGTATAATAAAATTGCTGCTCAGCTTTCAAGCGCAGTTTCCTTATTATGCAAGCTCTCGTATATAAATATACATATCTTGAATTTATACGTATGTAACTCAATTATTCTGATGTAAAAAATACGTTGATCTCAGTTTATTTTTACTTTCATCTCTATATGCGTAACGGCCGAACCTGTTCTCTCTGAGATCTTATAATAATATCGTTATTTCTCGAAGCGTTAAAATGCGCCGGAGACTCGCAAACTTTTCTGTATACATGACTTCTATTTTTTTTATTCCCTATGAATAACTGTAATGACCGCAGAGTATATTGGTATAGTCCGGGTGTTTCCTAACCGCAGGAATTTCCGTCTGTACTCTATTACGAAGAATGCTTCTACTTCCTGTGAAAGGACCAAGTCCCATTGGCTGACATTTGCGCACCTGTGGGCTCCGCAAAATTTAGAATTTTTATTGATATTATCCTGGCGAACAGGGTAGTATCATAGCCAGATATTGTCGATGTACGAAACTACATACGTTGAAAAAATTTCTAATAAGTTTTACTAAACAACATTTTCCTAACCCCTACCACAGTGTATGTCGGTGTTTATCAAAAATTAAACCAATCCCTATTTTCTGTTTATTATTAATAATTTTCCTCGTCTAAAGGAATGAAAAGGGTACCTCGTTTCCTAAATTTTTCCGGATTTTTTCTGGCCTACAGTTTTCACGTAAACTTTAGTTTAAAAAAATGTTTTTAAATTTAAACAAATTCTCCCTCAATTGGGCATATGCGTGTAATTGAATATCTAAGCCACTTTCTTCTGGCGGCTTCTATGAGGCTTCGATTGAATTGAATTTTCATGAGATACTGAGATAGCAACAACAGCTTAAAGCCTGTGGAAATTTGTTTTTCTGATGTTGCATCTAAGGGCTCATTTCAATGATGAATTTTGATGCTACAAAATTGGAACGACAAGTACATCGAAATTTCTGACCTAGAGTAATAGGAATCTACAGCTACCAGACCACGCAAATGAAAACTAAGATCGCGGCTGTGGAAAAGACTCCTCGATAGTAGAATAAGTGGAAAGTAGTAGAACGTCTCTATACTTTTCCTTGTTGGTTGTAAATAGCCATTATATTTTTTTAACGCGATGAACGAGATGGATACTAATGTTGAAGTAAGACTTATATTGCGGTCTTCTTAACATTTTAAATCAAAACAGACAACCTTCCTCAATCGTCACTTTTGTGTAGGATGGACAAAAGCTTTCGTAGAATTGAGTAAGCACGTTTCTCAATTTTAGCGCAGCTCTTATGGCTGTTTCCTTGAATCCTGAAAGGCTCCAAATATTTATGAGATCTCTGCTGTCGATTACTGTGGGAACCTAAGGATTGGGAATGATTTGTTTAACGTAAATTTCGTTTTACGAGACATCCAACTGGTTTTTAGATTATCGTACGTCGACGGGAGCAGGTTTAGTTTTATGATTTGATAAATGTGGAAAATATTATGGGAAAATAAGATTTAAATGCGATTCGAATGTCCGTGCAAGATTAATGCGTGTTGAAATTTAATGAAAACAACGTTGCCGTTTAGGAAGATCCGTGAATGAACTTGACAAAGAAATTTATCAGATTTCCTTGAAAAACAAGTTAAATTTTAAAGGGAATATTCAATTCCGGTTTCAATGAGAATGATACATATTAAATGATATTTATTTTAGATTCTTTTGATGGTGAGAAATTCGTTCGAAGTCGAGGAATTATGTAATTTTCCATGTTAACTTTAAATATTGATATATCATAAGTGGATAAGGTTAATCTAATATCTTTCTTTGCTTAGGTTGAATATAGACCGTGCGTTGTACCAGGAAGTGCTTGGGATTTGATGCGAGAATTCCTTCAAGGATTTATTGGCTCTGTTGTACCGAATCAAGCGCCACAGTATCTGCAGGTAAAAACATTAGTAACTCAATTATCAATACATATTTAAGAATTATTAACAATAAATATATTAATAAAATATTTGTTTCAGAATCGAATGAATGACATTTATCAGCCAATGGATACGATACAACAGTACTTGGAGCACTTTGGTCAATATCGAAAAACCACTGGTGTCATTTAAATAAGATTAATACGCGAGGTCATATATGAATATCATTATCGTAACATTTTATCATAACGATACCATCAAATGAGATATAATAGTATGCAGCTGCTCCATAGTAAGATGTTCTCTCTGCCTATAATTTGTATCTTGCAATTTAATAATTTTTAATTCATTGACTAATTGTGATTGATGAAATACTCCTGAAAATGTCATTGCATCAAATAAATGGAATGTCAGAAGCATGGTATATTAAAAAAAAATGCGAACGTCACTCGTTTAATTAATTAACTCCTGGCGTCAATAATGAGAATCGTGTTGAGTTTATCGACCTCGCACTCTTGACATCTGTGATGCTTGTAATCGAAGCTTTTACGAACAACCGTGCTCGTTCAATAATATTGATGAATCCTCCACTTGGCTACTGCTGGTAACTTTGTTCAGAAGTTTCACACAGAGCGTGGCAGCAGACTGATATATTTAGCTTACCGCTCTTCAATTACGAAACAGTATATCTGGCTAACGATAAATATTTAACGTAATTAATCAGGAAAAATTGTATCCGTAAATACATATAATAGTTTTACTTTATAGGCCTGACAGATTGTTCATTTGAAAGAACGTAACGAAGTAAAATTTGGAAACAACAGCACTAATGATAAGGGTGCTACAAGTGAGTGGCACCAGTCTTTAGAAAATTCCGCTAGATTTGTTACTGGAGCGGTGCTTTATGAGCGTTTGAGAGAATTACCGGCAGAGCAAACAATACGCCAGCCGGAGACAGACACATATTTCCGATAGATGGCGTCATGTGCATTTAAAACAGAGACCGTAACCGTAACTGAAACTGAAATTTTAGAAATTTCGAAACATTTATGAAATTTCGGTTAATGATTACGGTTTGGATCCCTTATTTTTCTCGTGATTATCGGTTATTCATTTCGGTTTCAATTACGGTTACGGTCCCTGATTAAAAATATAAATTTTGATCTTTTGACGCTAACTTCCCGACGGTTGGATTAGTGCACCATTATACACTCAGCGGATTTACCGACTGACAATGAGTTTCCCTAATTAAATTTCATGAGTGGGGCAGAGACAAAAATAGGTTTAGGAGTCGAGGCATTAATGACGCTGAGTATACACTTGTATATTTTACAGACGATTAGAAGGAGCTATTTTTCGAAAGAATACGCAATAACACATTTCTCAGTACATTAAACTGTATTGATATTTTCTCAATACATAACACATGTTACGTTGTATTTACTGCCAAGAATTATCTCACTAAGGCTACAAAAATTATCGATACCAAAGATTTCCGACATTGTTCTGTATTGCGTCATTGTTTCCATGAATTAAATAACTGGAAAAGTACAACAGAAATATCATGCACCATATAAGAAAATAGTATCTAGATAAAGACCGTTGCTAAAGGCACCAGATTCATGTATAGATAATAGACGTACTTTGAGAAAAACCTAATATGACTGTTATAAAAATCTGACTGATAAAACGAAAGATTAGCTCATTTTCACGCTACCTCAATTTTAATTTCTATATTACGATAACATTGATAAGACTTTTCGTGGAACTATTATTGTCATGAGCTAAAATCAGCTGATGATTTTGATTTCTGCTTTATTCGCAAGATCATTGTATCTGATCACAACGCGTACATTTTGCAAGTTAAAGTATATTCCAAGTAAAGAGAACTTCTCAGAATATAAGAAAAAATATTCGATACAAAGTGATAACGAATGATAAGATGAAGGTAAGAATGGGGATAGTCACAGCATATATAAGTGTAAGACATTTTATTCACAAACTAGTACGAAACGAATTCCGTAAGAGTAACAAGTATACAAAACGGTTGCAAAATGGGTGTAAAGTCAGTCCTTGCGTTGGCATTTGTGCTAGCTGTGGTAGCCGCAGCAAATATTCCACTGAACAATGTTGCGTTTGCTCAACATTATAAAAATAACAGTACCAATTCAAGTCTGTCCCATAATCTGATCGTGGGAAGCAGACTACCAGGCGATCGACTAGTTCGTCAACAAAGTGTCGTAAGGTCATCTTCTTGGATGCAAGTTACCACCTGGCAGCAGACTTTCAACGCTACCCTATACACCTATATCACCCAGGTCCGATCATTGGATCAGAAGACAAACGGTAACGGTGCTCAAGCTTCACTGATAGCTGGAGGTCCTGGATATAACTACGTAACACTCAGATTCAAGAGTCAAAGAGGACATGGAATTAATCACGTAGTACAACTCTACGCCCGTTAAACTGTATAAGTCGACGTCGAATTTCGGAATAAAAAGTTTGTTCATTCTGCATTAACCCTTGATAGTATTTCACTTGTGCCAGCGAATTCCCAAACCTTATTCCATTTTATATTTTTACCTTTCCTCCAAAACTGTAATCTCTGCAAAGTTAGTCTCATAAGAGATTTACGTTTCTTCACGTACCTCTTGTGGCTAGCGGACTCATTAAAGTGTTTACAATCGTTAGCGACACAATATAAAACAGCATGGGTATTATTTCGTACTGATGGGAGTATTAAGAATGTAATAAGACAATTAACGAATGGGACAAGAATAGCTATTCCTGATTTCCTCCATAGAGCGATAGCCCTGCTGATTTCAGGTAATTCAAAAATGTTTGCGCGGTTAATGGCATTGACTCTGTTATTGTCTGGTACTTACTCAAGGATCATTCTACAGGCACCTCCTATGCGTACTGCCAACTGCAGCACTTGTTTTTCAATGGTAACTTCGGTGGCCTGATTACGATGTGTCGTACACTTCACTTTCTCCAAGTTTTCTATGTCTATAGATGAACATCGGATGAAATCCTGAAGTCCTTGAAATTTATCTGAAACATAAAATTAACCAAAATTTTCGTTATAGTATGAATGTAGAATGCGCATGAACCATAGTTTGCAAAAAAAAATTGTTTGTTGCAAAAATGACAGACATAAAATGAAAATTGACGAAAAAAATCGGTCTTAATTTGCAATAACTTCATCCTATAATAATAATTTTTCATAAGTCGAGGTGCATCCGCATATAAATTTAATTTTCTTTAATTTAAATTTTGAATTAAGTGAATCGGATGAAAATTCGACGAGCTACGATTCCAGCGAACTTGAAAATCGTGGTTTTGAGAAAAACGCGTTTAAAGTTTTCGCTTGTAAAAAGCATAAGTTTTTCAATACTTACGGCTTTTTAAAGCAAATCTGCGATTCCTGAAGCATATAGTAGGCCTTCAGACTCCTCGAAGTACTGCTGCTGTTGAAGTTTCTGCATTTTTCGTGCAGTTCGACCCTCCTTTGTGCTTTCGAGGCTGCGCTGTGCTTGCCACTTCATGCGTGCGCCCTCGTACGTATCGGCGTAATTCTGAGTTTGCAAGCCAATTTCCAAGTTCAGCAGTTCCATGATCTTCAGAATAACTGAATAGCCTTCATTAAACAGCACAGCAGCTATAGACGAAGCAGTTTCTACCGTTGTCACGCCAGAATGGAGATGTTTTGGGGCGAGACGCCAGATGGTTGAGTTAAAGCTTTCGTTGGCATTTTGCGCATGCCCACCCAAACATCTCTTCAACAGGTCATCATTGCAAAGATCTTCATATGTCGGCAGTATATGTTTCTGTACATCAGCATGAAGAGGTTCGGTGGGCCACTACCGCTCCGTTCTCCGTTCTACCTGCTCGGAGCGCACCGCTCCTAACTATATTTCAAGGTCGATGATGCTAAAACTTTGGGAATATATTCTCCACATGTATAGAAAGATTTTTAGGCAAAAAAAATCGATTTCTTGGAACAGCTGAACCAGATTCCCCCCTTAACCGGAAATCAGACCTCCAGACGGTCAGCTATCTGCCGCCAACAATTGGTTTTCCTTGTCAAGGTTTGCATGATTACCGATTAAATGCCAGGTTAAATGGTGAACATACTTACTGTATACAGTGACTGCAGTAGAAATGTTGCTGAGGCTCCTTGTTCCGCGAAACGCAAATGAAAACAGACATATGTATATCGGATATATATTTATATAATGTGTAACTTGTATCTGTACCTTGATGCACGATCCTATTACTCCAAGCAATCTGTAGTCATGAATAAGAAAATACATAAGAATCAAATATTGGATTTACCGACTGAGTTTGCCTAATGAAATTCCATGAGTGGGGCAGAGACAAAAAGAGGTTTAGGGGCCCAGGCACCAATGACGCTGAGTGTACACATGTGTGTTTTACAGACGATTAGAGGGGGCTATTTTTCGAAAGAATAAGCAATTACACATTTCTCAGTACATTAAATTTTATTTTTTGTTTTCTCAATATGTAACATATGTTACGTTGTATTTAAAGCCAATAATTATGCCCCTAAGGCTACAAAAATTATTGATACCAAAGATTTCCGACATTGTTCTCGTTAATCGATACTTCCGTATTGCGTCATTGTTTCCATGAATTAAATAACTGGAAAAGTAGAATATAAAATATTATGCACGCTATAAGAAAATAATATCTAGATAAAGACCGTTGCTAACGGCACCAGAAACATATATAGATAATAAATGTACTATGGAAAAACCTAATATGACTGTTATAAAAATCTGATTCATAAAACGAAAGATTAGCTTATTCTCATGCTACCTCAATATCAATTTCTATATTGTGATAACATTGATAAGACTATTCGTGGAACTATTACTCTCATGAGCTAAAATCTGCTGATGATTTTGATTCCTGATTTATTCTCAAAATCATTGTATCTGATCACACGCGTACATTTTGCAAATTAAAGTATATTCCAAGTAAAGAGAACTTCTCAGAATATAAAAACAAATATTCGATAAAAAGTGATAACGAATGATAAGATGAAGGTAAGAATGGGGATAGTCACAGCATATATAAGTGTAAGACATTTTATTCACAAACTAGTACGAAACGAACTCCGTAAGAGTAACAAGTATACAAAACGATTGCAAAATGGGTGTAAAGTCAGTCCTTGCGTTGGCATTTGTGCTAGCTGTGGTAGCCGCAGCAAATATTCCACCGAACGATGTTGCGTTCGCTGAAGTTTATAAAAATAACATTGACATCGACACCGCTAATTCACGTCAGTCCAATCATCTGATCTTGGGAAGCAGAATACCGGGCGATCGACTAGCTGTTCAACAAAGTGTCGTAAAGTCATCTTCTTGGATGCAAGTTACCACCCGGGAGCAGACTTTCAGCACTAGCGGATACGGCTTGATCACCCAGATCCAAGCATTGGATCAGAAGACAAACGGTAACGGTGCTCGCGCTATAGTAACAGCTGGAGGTCCTGGACAGAACTACGTAACACTCAGATTCAAGAGTCAAAGAGGACATGGAATTAATTTCTTAGTACAAATCTACGCCCGTTAAATTGTATAAGTCGACTTTGAATTTCGGAATAAAAAGTTTGTTCATTCTGCATTAACCCTTGATTGTATTTCACTTGTGCCAGCGAATTCCCAAACCTTATTCCATTTTATATTTTTACCTTTCCTTCAAAACTGTAATCTCTGCAAAGTCAGTCTCATAAGAGATTTACGTTTCTTCACGAACCTCTCGTGGCTAGCGGACACATTAAAATATTTACAATCATTAGCGACACAGTATGAAACAGCATGGGTATCAAGTATGACGTCAGCAGGTAAATTTAATGCAAGACGTTCCTCTTGCGCGGTCCACCAGAATTCTTGCTCTATTGTGTTATGCCAACAATTGATTCCCCAACGAGGACCTCCAAATCGGCAGGCCAGGATGTGGGCTTTCCTAGGACCACAGTGATCTGCATCGTGTCTCCATTTCCGTGTGCATTTGTGACATTGACAAGCAATTCGTCCTCTGATAATTCCATTTTCAACAGTAACGTCGAAACAGTCTGACACCATACGAATGTAATTTTCCATACGAACGTTGCAAGTTGTCAGTAAATTTGACAACTGTCGTTGTGATTTGTCAATTACGACAAAACTGCCCACATTTCGTACTGATGAGAGTATTGATAATATAATAAGACGATTAACGAAAGGGATAAGAATAGCTATTCCTGATTTCTTCCATAGAGCGATAGCCATGTTGATTTCAAGTAATTCAAAAATGTTTGCGCGGTTAATGGCATTGACTCTATTATTGTCTGGTACTTACTCAAGGATCATTCTACAGGCACGAGTAATGTTCAAACGCAGCATACACAGTTCAAAGATTTCGCGATCGTATTGTTCTTTCTTAATCATTTAACCGGAAATCAGGCCTCCAGACGTTCAGCTATCTGCCGCCAACAATTGGTTTTCCTTGTTAAGGTCTGCATGATTACCGATTAAATGCCAGGTTAAATGGTGAAGATACTTATTGCATAAAGTGACTGTAGCATAAATGTTGCTGAGGCTCCTTGTTCCGCATAACGCAAATCAAAACTGACATACATTGGATATGTATTTATACAATATGTAACTTGTATATGTAACTTGATACACGATCCTTTTACTCCAAGCAATCTGTAGTCATGAATAAGAAAATACATAAGAATTAAATATTGCGTCAGGTGCCATCTATAAATGACTATTATGTTAATGATTAAATACCGAGCACTACTTACATATTACTGATTATAAGAAATGACTAGTCAATGATACTAATCCTGGGAATGGTCCCGCAATTTTGTTCTTCATTTGAAAATCATTGTCGTGAAGTGTCTCACAATTGGACAGTCTACACCTGCTCTCCAGTTAATGTCTTTCAGTCGTCAAAAGTCACATAAAATACGTATAAAATTATAATGCTCTTATCACTGTTCTTTCTTTCTGGTACACTGTGGAATGGTTGGTGATACAGCAACCTCATAAGCATTCGGACTTTGGCCTTTCAACATAAATAGCTTAATCAACAGAAACTGTCACTTTTTCTTATATTAATCAAGAACTTTAACATATAACACGCACAGAATATTATGATATTGTGACACATTCAGTCTACTGCATCTTTCTTCGATGCTACATACGTATGTCAAGCACATATGTTATATTGAGAAATAAAATTTTGTATCTCCTATTCGTTACTTGATCTCATATATGATCTAGATTTAGTATTGCTCCAGGATTATTTGTGATTTTTCAAAATTACTGTTATCATATAATCATCATAGAAAATCATTACCATGTCGCGCTGGCCTAAAACCGCGGTTCTTCGATCGCTTAGAGATTGTCCACATTAGCATGGTCATCAGTACTATTGTTAATGAAGTACAATGGTCATAAATATCTCACACCGGACAACAGATTGCTTTGCCTATGGGTGTCATCTGTGAAGCTATGACTCACTTTTGTTTTTGAAATGTACAATATTCATGCACAGATCAAAAAGGCTATGTCAAATGAAATTTCAGAGGATGAAGAGTGACAATTGACTAATTGAAAGAGTCATTGCTAAAATTAAGAATGTTTAAAAGTTTGTGAACCAAATAAAACTCCTTCCATGAGACGTATTTTGCGGTCCTGAAAAGGACCATTTTTTTTAATCTATGCTTTTTTCTCAGTCTTCTTGGGCAATAGAACTGCTTGAATGTTAGGCAACACACCACCTTGAGCAATTGTTACTCCGGAGAGCAACTTGTTCAATTCTTCGTCATTGCGAATGGCCAGTTGCAGATGACGTGGAATGATTCTGGTTTTCTTATTGTCACGAGCAGCGTTTCCCGCCAATTCCAAGACTTCAGCAGCCAAGTACTCCATAACAGCCGCCAAATAAACAGGCGCTCCGGCTCCGACACGTTCGGCATAGTTCCCTTTCCGAAGAAGTCTGTGAATTCGGCCAACAGGAAACTGCAGGCCAGCTCTGTTGGAACGAGACTTTGCCTTTCCCTTTACTTTTCCACCTTTACCACGTCCAGACATTTCAATACAGGAGATTCGTTCTATAAACGTAAAAGAAACAACCGTCCCGCTCTCGACGAATAACCTAAAATTGAAATTTCGATCAGGCTGAGTTAATATATAATATATAATACAGGTTAATAGTTAATATATAATACAGGTCGGAGGCTAGCCGCGCGCCAATCCCGTTACGCCCTATAGCTGAGTT